GTCCCGCGCGGGGGCTGCCCCGCGGGAGCCCGCGCCGAGCGGCGGCCCCGGGCTCCGGCGCGGAGTGAGCTGGCCCCGCGGAGAGACGCGGAGCAAAGCCGCGGGGGAGCCCGCCGGGTCCGGGGACCCCCACCCCACCCCAAACCGCCCTCCTTCGCCTCCTGGTCCCTTCCCGCGGCAGGTAAAACTTGACCGTGGCGAGCACGCTTTTCGGTTTGCGGGATAGGTTGTGGGGGTTTTCTGTGTGTTGCTCCTTGGTTGTTGGTTTTGGATTTTTTCTTTTTCTAATTTTTTTTGGGGGGGGAAGTGTGAGTTGGTGTTTATGAGAAGCTTTATGACTCCTGATAAACTCATCTTTGAGGACGACACAGAACTGTGTTCCTTGAGGAATTGGGGTGGTGACGTCTTTTCTGATACCCGATTATTACGTGACTGAGGAAAAAAAAAAAAAAGGCATTTGATTCATGAATAAAAATCCGGACACCACCACGGGGGCAACAAACAATATTGCCCGTCCTCTAAGGTAACAAGCAGGCAAATGTTTACGAAGAGGGCTCTTGCTGAAGCGGGGTGTTTGCAAAGATTTTGTTGCTAATTGCGTATCAGACGGAAGGCTGCGGAAGGCTGGTCAAGTTTGGAGCCACCGAGCAGGAAGAGAAGAAGAGGAGAAGGCTGAAGGCGCTCAGTGAGGGGAGAGATCTGGGGAAGACAACATCGCACGCAGCCAGCCCGCGGCTCCCCGCCTCCGCGCCCTCCCGGGCTCCCTCGCTCTCTTCCCGCTTCCCCTGCGCTCCCTTCTCCGGCGACATCTCGCTCCGTCCCTCTTTCTCCCTTCCCTTGCAGACGCCACTCCAGATCTGTGCCGCTACCTGCAAACTTTTTTTCCTTTACCTTTGTCTTTTTTTCTCCTCCTCTCTCTCTTTTTTCTTTTTGGAGTGGATTCCCCTAAAACCAGCAAACAACTAACTGCTGCTTTTGCGTCTTCTTCATCCCGCGGGTCCGTCGCCCATCGGAGAGGCGATGACACGAGGCTTTTAACTCCTTTCGGCCGCAACTTGGGAGACAGCTCGATTTCCCCCCCCATTTTGGGTCTTT